AGTGTCGATAGTAGACACAGAAGGGAAACTACAGGAACTCCAAGAGAAGGTAGTAAAGGAAAGCAAGAAGAAAGGCAGTCTTAACAAGATAAGATATGCAGATGACATAGTGTCGATAGTAGACACAGAAGGGAAACTACAGGAACTCCAAGAGATAGTAGACACAGAAGGAGTCTTAACAAGATAAGATACAGATGAACTAGACACAGAAGGGAAAAGAAAGGTAGTAAAGGAAAGCAAGAAGAAAAGGCAGTCTTAACAAGATAAGATATGCAGATGACATAGTGTCGATAGACACAGAAGGGAAACTACAGGAACTCCAAGAGAAGGGTAAAGGAAAGCAAGAAGAAAGGCAGTCTTAACAAGATAAGATATGCAGATGACATAGTGTCGATAGTAGACACAGAAGGGAAACTACAGGAACTCCAAGAGAAGGTATTAAAGGAAAGCAAGAAGAAAGGCAGTCTTAACAAGATAAGATATGCAGATGACATAGTGTCGATAGTAGACACAGAAGGAAACCACAGGTCCAAGAGAAGGTAGTAAAGAAACAAGAAGAAAGGCAGTCTTAACAAGATAAGATATGCAGATGACATAGTGTCGATAGTAGACACAGGTAGTCCAAAGAGAAGGTATTAAAGGAAAAGCAAGAAGAAAGGCAGTCTTAACAAGATAAGATATGCAGATGACATAGTGTCGATAGTAGACACAGAAGGGAAACTACAGGAACTCCAAGAGAAGGTAGTAAAGGAAAGCAAGAAGAAAGGCAGTCTTAACAAGATAAGATATGCAGATGACATAGTGTCGATAGTAGACACAGAAGGGAAACTACAGGAACTCCAAGAGAAGGTAGTAAAGGAAAGCAAGAAGAAAGGCAGTCTTAACAAGATAAGATATGCAGATGACATAGTGTCGATAGTAGACACAGAAGGGAAACTACAGGAACTCAAGAGAAGGTAGTAAAAAAGAAAGCAAGAAGAAAGGCAGTCTTAACAAGATAAGATATGCAGATGACATAGTGTCGATAGTAGACACAGAAGGAAACTACAGGAACTCCAAGAGAAGGTAGTAAAAGGAAAGCAAGAAGAAAGGCAGTCTTAACAAGATAAGATATGCAGATGACATAGTGTCGATAGTAGACACAGAAGGAAACTACAGGAACTCCAAGAGAAGGTAGTAAAGGAAAGCAAGAAGAAAAAGTCTTAACAAGATAAGATATGCAGATGACATAGTGTCGATAGTAGACACAGAAGGGAAACAAGGAATCCAAGAGAATATAAAGGAAAGCAAGAAGAAAGGCAGTCTTAACAAGATAAGATATGCAGATGACATAGTGTCGATAGTAGACACAGAAGGAAACTACAGGAACTCTCAAGAGAAAGGCAGTAACAAGATAAGATAAGATGACATAGTGTCGATAAGACACAGAAGGAAACTCAGGAACTCAAGAGAAGGTAGTAAAGGAAAGCAAGAAGAAAGGCAGTCTTAACAAGATAAGATATGCAGATGACATAGTGTCGATAGTAGACACAGAAGGGAAAAACTACAGGAACTCCAAGAGAAGGTAGTAAAGGAAAGCAAGAAGAAAGGCAGTCTTAACAAGATAAGATATGCAGATGACATAGTGTCGATAGTAGACACAGAAGGAAACTACAGGAACTCCAAGAGAAGGTAGTAAAGGAAAGCAAGAAGAAAGGCAGTCTTAACAAGATAAGATATCAGATGACATAGTGTCGATAGTAGACACAGAAGGGAAACTACAGGAACTCAAGAGAAGGTAGTAAAGGAAAGCAAGAAGAAAGGCAGTCTTAACAAGATAAGATATGCAGATGACATAGTAAAGAAAATACAGGAACAGTAAAGGAAAGTGAAGAAGAAAGGCAGAACAAAGATAAAGATATCCCGAAGAGACAAGAAGGGTACAGGAACTCAAGAGAAAGTAAAGGAAAGCAAGAAGAAGGCAGTCTTAACAAGATAAGATATGCAGATGACATAGTGTCGATAGTAGACACAGAAGGAAACTACAGGAACTCCAAGAGAAGGTAGTAAAGGAAAGCAAGAAGAAAGGCAGTCTTAACAAGATAAGATATGCAGATGCAGATGACATAGTGTCAAGATAGGTAGTAAACACAGCAAGAAGAAAACTTAACAAGATAAGAACTCCAAAGAGAAGGTAGTAAAGGAAAGAAAGCAAGAAGAAAAGGCAGTCTTAACAAGATAAGATATGCAGATGACATAGTGTCGATAGTAGACACAGAAGGGAAACTACAGGAACTCCAAGAGAAGGTAGTAAAGGAAAGCAAGAAGAAAAGGCAGTCTTAACAAGATAAGATATGCAGATGACATAGTGTCGATAGTAGACACATACAGGAACTCCAAGAGAAGGTAGTCAAGAAGAAAGGCAGTCTTAACAAGATAAGATATGCAGATGACATAGTGACAGAAGGGAAAACAGGAACTCCAAGAGAAGGTAGTAAAGGAAAGCAAGAAGAAAGGCAGTCTTAACAAGATAAGATATGCAGATGACATAGTGTCGATAGTAGACACAGAAGGGAAACTACAGGAACTCCAAGAGAAGGTAGTAAAGGAAAGCAAGAAGAAAGGCAGTCTTAACAAGATAAGATATGCAGATGACATAGTGTCGATAGTAGACACAGAAGGAAACTACAGGAACTCAAGAGAAGGTAAAGAAGAAAGCAAGAAGAAAAGGCAGTCTTAACAAAGATAAGATATGCAGATGACATAGTGTCGATAGTAGACACAGAAGGAAACTAGGAACTCAAGAGAAGGTAGTAAAGGAAAGCAAGAAGAAAGGCAGTCTTAACAAGATAAGATATACAGATGACATAGTGTCGATAGTAGACACAGAAGGAAACTACAGGAACTCCAAGAGAAGGTATTAAAGGAAAGCAAGAAGAAAGGCAGTCTTAACAAGATAAGATATGCAGATGACATAGTGTCGATAGTAGACACAGAAGGGAAACTACAGGAACTCCAAGAGAAGGTAGTAAAGGAAAGCAAGAAGAAAGGCAGTCTTAACAAGATAGATATGCAGATGACATAGTGTCGATAGTAGACACAGAAGGAAACTACAGGAACTCCAAGAGAAGGTAGTAAAGGAAAAAGAAGAAAGGCAGTCTTAACAAGATAAGATATGCAGATGACATAGTGTCGAGTAGACACAGAAGAAACTACAGGAACTCAAGAGAAGGTAGTAAAGGAAACAAGAACAAAAGGCAGTCTTAACAAGATAAGATATGCAGATGACATAGTGTCGATAGTAGACACAGAAGGGAAACTACAGGAACTCAAGAGAAGGTAGTAAAGGAAAGCAAGAAGAAAGGCAGTCTTAACAAGATAAGATATGCAGATGACATAGTGTCGATAGTAGACACAGAAGGGAAACTACAGGAACTCCAAGAAGGTAGTAAAGGAAAGCAAGAAGAAAGGCAGTCTTAACAAGATAAGATATACAGATGACATAGTGTCGATAGTAGACACAGAAGGAAAAACTACAGGAACAAGAGAAGGTAGTAAAGAAAGCAAAGAAGAAAAGTCTTAACAAGGAACAGATGACATAGTGTCAAGACACAGAAGGTACAGGAATTAAAGGAAAGCAAGAAGAAAGGCAGTCTTAACAAGATAAGATATGCAGATGACATAGTGTCGATAGTAGACACTCAAGAGAAGGTATTAAAGGAAAGGGAAAGGCAGTCTTAACTACAGAACTCCAGAAGGAGGAACTCCAAGAAGGTAGTAAAGGAAAGCAAGAAGAAAGGCAGTCTTAACAAGATAAGATATGCAGATGACATAGTGTCGATAGTAGACACAGAAGGGAAACTACAGGAACTCCAAGAGAAGGTAGTAAAGGAAAGCAAGAAGAAAGGCAGTCTTAACAAGATAAGATATGCAGATGACATAGTGTCGATAGTAGACACAGAAGGGAAACTACAGGGAAAGGTAGTAAAGGAAAGCAAGGAACAGTCTTAACAAGATAAGATATGCAGATGACATAGTGTCGATAGTAGACACAGAAGGAAAGTAAAAGGAAAGCAAGAAGAAAGGCAGTCTTAACAAGATAAGATATGCAGATGACATAGTGTCGATAGTAGACACAGAAGAAACTACAGGAACTCCAAGAGAAGGTAGTAAAGGAAAGCAAGAAGAAAGGCAGTCTTAACAAGATAAGATATGCAGATGACATAGTGTCGATAGTAGACACAGAAGGGAAACTACAGGAACTCCAAGAGAAGGTAGTAAAGGAAAGCAAGAAGAAATCATTTGTAAGAATACAGAATTTATGGTTATCAGCAGGAGAAAATGTCTAAGATGCGAACTACGAATTGGGGATGATAAAATCAAACAAGTGCAGAAGTTTAAATATCTGGGAAGTGTTTTAACGGGGGATGGAAAATGTGACACTGAAATCCGAACGCTTATTTGAATAGCAAAAGTTGCCTTCCGAAAACTCATCAAAGTATTAAGAAACTGGAAAATTTGGTTAGAAACAAAGAAAAGAAGGCCGAACTGCTGCAATATCAATCCTTCTATGCATAGCAGGGAAATCAGAAGGAAACAATTGAAATTTCTAGATTCAATGAAAAAGGAGGGCTTGGAAAAATTGGTCTCACAGAACAGACTGTAGGCAAAAGAGACAGTGGAACTCCTACCCGATGAAGTTATGTGAGTGGTGCGATGAAAAGATAAGCATTACTAAGAATTGTACGGTATAGGAGGTTGTGGAGAGCCATGATGGCCTACGTTCTGAATGTATACCTCCCGTTCCAAATGGCTTTGTGCTGTCGCTAAAGATTCACGTAAAATGATCGGTCGTTTCCTTGTACCGCTCCAATAAGTACCTAACTCCTCATGCCTCTACTTTTATAAGAGCCAGATCACACCGGAAATGGGGCACTGCTGTCATATTTGGGCGGAAACTGCTCAGTCCTCACTTTCTAGTCTTGATACAGTTGAAAAGCCTCTCTGAGTCCTCGTTGGAGAAGAATTATTTTCCACCCTACAACCTCTCTCTCTCTCTCTCTCTCTCTCTCTCTCTCTCTCTCTCTCTCTCTCACAGGTGGGATGTGGCGAGTCTCTCACTGCTCTATCGCTACTTCCATGGAAAGTGCTCAGGCGAACTACATTCCTTGGTTCCACCAGGTCTAATGCTCACGGCTAGGATCCGCCATGCCACTTATATTGTAGCAAACCACCCACATTGCCTCCGTATTCCATCGGTGAAAAGTAAGTTCCACTTGAACAGCTTCTTCTCTCGAACCACTGCTCTGTGGAACAGACTCCCAAGAGGATTTTTTCCCAATCACTACCATCTTAACCTGTTCAAGTCTAGAGTTAACTGTTATCTTCTCCTCCTATTCATATAGACTACTCCTTAACGTAACCCTCTACCTCGAGTGCCCCCTGACCTTGAATAGAGTAAACCTTACTGTAACAAAAAAAAAATTGTACTAAACTAAATTTCGTCTATAGCAAGAATCCATTTTCCTCTGGTGCACGAACTCATAAGAAGAGTGTTGAATGAAATGGTAGGCAAGGCAAATAACTTACATTGGCCTTACATATCATCGTCAAGCAACGCGTGAGTCTTTGTAATGTTCGAATAACTTACTAACGTTATATCCTTATTCAACAGCTTTTTACTGTTTTATCAACTGTGTTTGACTTCTTCTATGTTCCGTATCCCTTCAGGACGTGGGCAATCATGGATCTCCACAACTTCCTTTACTTTGTAGCTTTTAGCACAGTTTCTCGTTTTACTATCATTCCCTGACCCTTTTCTACCATCAATTTATACAAGCTCGTTATGTAGGTTTCTCACGGTTTCCCTCTTGACTTTGTCGTTTGAGTGTTAATGTTTCCAATCATTTGTTCTTGTGTCCTAGTAATTTCAACTGTCTCTTTATGATTCTAAGTACAAGTGTGCGTTTTGTTTCCATCTTCCTTAGAACTTCTTTGTTGCTTATATGCCCTGTCCATATTCTTCTCAGCTTCCTTTTGTAGAATCAACACTCTACTGCTCAAGTATTCTGTTGTCTATGTCTCTTCGCATCTAATTATTCTATATGGCATCATTCGCTGCCATATAGAATAATTAGTTGTGCAATATCAGAAATGTGATGGTATCCTCATCATCCTTCTGTAGAATCATATTTTTGTTGCTTCAAGTCTCTTTTTCATCTTTGAAGAGATTGTCCAACATTCACTACCATATAGGATGACAGATATCACATAACAGTTCAATACTGTTTTCTTTGTATCTAGCGAAATTTTTCTGTCTCTTAATGCTCAGCTTAGCTTTTGGAATCCATATTTATCAATCCCGATACGTCTTCGGATCTCAGTGTCGTACTTTCCGTCCTCTGTTAGAACACTTGTTTACCATACAACTTAATTTTTTTCTGGTTACCAAGATGATTTTCGTTATCTGGTTGAAGTAAGTTCTTCCTTCTAAGAATTACCAACCCGACAGCGATGGCAATTTTGGCCATAAACATAGATCCTCGTACGTGGACATTCGGGTGGTGCCTGAATTTGCTGAAGCTCTCTCGGCATTTCCCTTCTGTAAAGCCTTGGACATCGATTACTGACTCTCTCTCTCTCTCTCTCTCTCTTCGAGTGTAAAATGGGAGGTACTACCTTCGTGTAAAACTCTCCTGAAGTTCCGGTGTTATACGTCTGGTGGGGTTATGTATGTATTTTTTCTTCACTTGGAGCACTATACAAACATTTATTAAGCTGAGATTCGTGTATTATACCCTACGAGGATCGAAATATCCACTACTTAAAGTGTTTTGCAAGAATTTTTTGCAAAACATTGCACTATGGCAGACGTAAGTGATGTTTTTAAATATATTTGTCAGATTGAGACTTAATATGGACGCCAAACTTATTCAGAAATATCGAAACTGTCTGCTGCTTTTTAAGATCAATGGTTAAACATGGTTTTGTGTTTCTGTAATTCTCCCTTTTTTGAATGTTACTTTGCACAGTTACCTTTCCGAAATCCATGCATATTTCACCACTGAAACATTTTAAAGTATTGAAGAGACCCTTAAAAGACTCAATGTCGTTTTTGGCAAAGTTTTGAGATCATCCATGTAGAGTAGGTTATTAAATACTTTCTTTTTATTTTTATTATTGTTTAGTGCATGCGTAAAGGGGATTAAGGATAGATGAAACAAGGATATTCAGGCGGTTGGAGGTGACAAGTGCCTCTGGTGTGATTTAGGTATAATGTGTTTTTCCACATTCTCATGCTGTGTTTAAGAAAATTTACTATCACCGAGCAGACTTGTACATTAGTCTTTAGGGCAACACTATCAAAGGCTTTAAGGTAATTTATCCATGCTGTGCTGAGATTTCTACATATTTTCCTGCAATTTTCCAGGATCATTTTGTTTATCAATAGTTTATCTTTGCAACCATAGGAACCTCTCCGGCATCCATTCTGTTCCAGGGGAAGAATGTTGTTTGCTTCAA